TTGGACTCAGACATTGATGAATTATAAAGAGATATTTATAATTCTTCTTATTTTTTCTTTAATTCTTTGTGTGCTGCCTCTTTTGCTTCTGATGCATCTTCTTCAAGCAGTTCTAATCATTCTTTCACAAGATCCCAAAGATCTTGACAGTAGAATACAATATTCATCTGATTGCACCAATTCTCATAGTTATCCACTTTCAGAATTGGAAGACTTACTGGAAAATTCATGTTTGGATGATTCATTGCCACCGTGATTTTCTTGCCTTGAATCGCTCAACCGGAGCTCTTGATACTAAATGTTGGGAATTACACCAAACCTATGGAGAATTCCAATCAATCTTTATGAACAAGATTCAATCAACCCGGTCAAAATCCCTTCTTCTTCACTCTTCACTTGAGTGAATCAACCAACCTTGGTTGCAAGATGATTATGTGCAGCAATTTCAATGAAGAAAGAAAGAAAAATAATTAGGAAGAAGAAGATTATGATTTGAAAAAAATAAGGAGAAGAAGATGATGATTTTGTGCAGAGTTTCTCTCTGCCCACAAACTTTGAAAAAATCTTATTCACTTTGTAACTACAAAATCCTTTGAATACTTGTTGTTTACAATATATGAGTTACTCCCTATTTATAATGAGCTTGCTTGCTCCCTAAAGAAAAACTGAAAACTATAAAAGCCTAAAATAACTATTTAGACCTAAGTTGAAATCATGTGGAAAGCCACTACAAGCAATATTCTGTCTTGCGACGTGTTTTTGTGACGTGATTATCATGTCACGAAAGATTGGCAGTTATGACGTGATAATCACGTCAGTACATGCTTTTAACATTAAAATAATAAAAGTAGCGTTAGGTTTGTGGGAGTCTGACTTTATTTTTTCAAAAAAAAAGTTGCGATGTGGAAATCAAGTCACAACATAAAAATTAGAATAAAAAATAAAAAAGCCTCAGGCGTTTTGAAGGGGGGAAATATGGAATTTTAAAAAAAAAAAGGTTGTGACGTGTTTATCACGTCACAACGGTTTAAGAGGGAAAACATCTCACTTTGAAGTGATGAGATGCTGAGGCGTGCATGTTGACTGAATTAAAGTTATTATTGTTGGAATATTTGCAATGTGAATATCACGTGGCAAGGTTACGACGTAATATTCACGCTGTTGATTGGCTTATATAAAAGATGCTTTCCTCTTTCTTCCCAGAAACCACAAATACTTCTGATATAATTTTTCTCTTCTCTTCTCTACTCTTCTCTTTCGATCCTTGTTTCCATTTCAATATTCTTGTTCATATCATTCCAATTTTCATTCTAAATTCTTCCAATCTTGTATCAAATGTAAGTTTACTTCAATTTTTTTCAATAATTTTGTTTTAACTTTATAATATTTTATGTTCTTAATTTATGTTTAACTTTTTTTTGTCAATATTGAAGAGAAGAATATTCAAGAATATTGAAGAGGTTGAAGAAGAAAGTAGAAGGAAATTGAAGAAGAAGTATTTTTCTTTTTTTTTTAATTTAATATATTAATTGGATTGTTGGTTGTGTTTAAATATTATATTTTTTTGTAAAATTTGTTATTATGTTAATATTGTAATTTTTGAAAAAACAGTAAAAAGGAAAAACATAATATGTTAATATATTTATTTAAAATATATATATATATATATATATATATATATCTAAAAAATTGTTTTGTGACAGTGATTTTAATATCGCAAATTTGTGACATAAAAATAACGTCACTAATTCAATTTATTTTATAAAAAAAAATTAAATTATGAAACTATTAAATATAATTCTGTTTTTAATATATATATATATATATATATATATATATATTAAAAACAGAATTATATTAATAGTTTCATAATTTAATTTTTTTATAAAATAAATTGAATTAGTGACGTTATTTTTATGTCACAAATTTGCGATATTAAAATCATGTCACAAACTATTTATTTCAGATTGTTATTAGTGACGTGATTTTCATGTCACAAATTTGTGATATTAAAATCACATCGCAAAAATTCTGTCATTTCTGACCGAACATCTGTCTTGTCTGCTCTTACTGCAATATTGTGGGTATCTGTGTAAAATGTTGCGACATGATTTTCGCGTCACAACTTTGTGACATGAAAGTCACGTCGCAAATAAGTTATCACACGCTCCCCTGCAGCGTGTTCAGTCACGTCGCAACAAAATTGTTGTGACGTGATTTTAACTGTTGTGACTTGATAATCACGTCACAAATGAGCTTGTTTTTTTGTAATTAATAACCTGTTTCGACACTTCGACACACACAACTCGGCACATATTAGACTAATTTTGACACAATCTTGTTTCTATCGAACATACACTTTCGACACAAGAGATTACAATCTCAACAATACTAACTGAGTTAACAATTTTTATTTATTTTATTTTATTATCTATTATCTATCTATTATAATATATTAAATCTAAAGCAACAAACTATATCACGATATGTCATATGCCATTTAATTCTATTTTTGTCACATCAATTAAAATCCTACGTGTCACTCTTTGAATTGAATCTAACAACAAATTTGCATAATTGTTCTTAATCACTTCAACTTCTATTCTCAAACACATATGTTACAATAACTTTATTATTTTCTATCCTCACAAAAATTACTCATAATTAAATATAATTATCATCTCTTAAATTGGTAATTTAATTTTAATAATTTTTTCATTGCATTTTAATTATGTCATTTAAGATCCTCATATTTATCTATACTCTAATGCATATATTTTTTTATAGTCTAATATCTTAAAATAAAATATATGATGACTAACAAAAAAAATTATAATGAAAAAATATTTAAAATTCTTACAAAACATATTAATGATAGTAATAAATATTTTAAGTTATGGACTATAAACAATATTAATTAACCGAAAATTTAAGTGGGAAAATATAGATTGTTTTTAATTATAAAGACTTATACTCTACTTACACCTCCTTAATTATCTGTATTATCCATAAGAATTATAATAACAAATGTATTTTAGATTAAAAGACACATTAATCGGACAACTAATTCATTTTAGTATGAGATAAAAACAATTGAAAGGTGCTAAAATTGTTTTTGAATTATTTTATAAAAAAATTAATATAAAACTGTTATAAAATTTAATAATACAAATAATAAATATCTTAATTTTGACATTATCAACATTACCAATAATCTAAATATTATAAAAAATAAAATAAATTATATATAATTACATATACTTATTTCTAATAACAAATATATAATGAAATATTTCGACATAATATAATCACATGTCCTTAATATAATCACAATAGATTTAAATTTATAATGACACCATTCAAAAATTAAATAAAATATATGATGGCTGATAAAAATTATAATGAAAAAATATTTAAAATTCTTACAAAACCTACTAATGACAATAATAAATATTTTAATTTATGCATTATAAACAATATTAATTAATCAGAAATTTTAGGGAAAAAATATAGACTATTTCTAATTATAAGAACTTGTACTCTACTTATATCTCATCAATTATCTATATTATTCATAATAATTATAATAACAAATGTACTTTAGATTAAAAAACATATTAATCAGACAACTAATTTATTTTAGAATGAGATAAAAACAATTGAAAGATGGCAAAATAGTTTTTGAATTATTTTATAAAAAAAAATGAATATAAGATTGCTATAAAATTTAATAATACTAATAATAAATGTCTTAATTTTGACACTCTCAATAATAACAATAAACTAAATATTTAAAAAAAATAAAATGAGTTATATATAATTACATATACTTATTTCTAATAACAAACATAAAATAAATTATGAAATTTCATCGTAATATGATCACATATTCTGGTCCTAATAGAGTTAAATTTATAAAACTTTGTATAAGTACTTTCATTTTTTTAATTTAAATTTATTCCAAAATATATATAATATATATCTTTTTTTTTTAATTTAAAAAAACATATATTGTAAATTAAATAGAAATTTAATAGTTCATTTTTTTTAATTATAATTATACAATTTAAAACTATTTCGTCTCATTCTTTACTTAATTTTATATCATAAATTTATATTATTAACTATAATTATATAATTTAAGAATTAAGTTCTTTGTACAATATCATCTCATATATAATATTTTAACATGTATATTCTCAAATCATCTCATTAAATATGATATATGTTTCAAATTATTGGATTGTGCATAATTGTTTTATATCCTTATGTATAAATTTCCAAAAAATTTCTAATAAATCATCTCAATAGATAGAAAATTAAATGTATTTGAAACTAAGAGATAAAAATAGAACAAATTTATTTTTTAAAAATTTAACATATTTATGTTTATTTTACTTGATTACCTTGAATATGTAGTTTAAAATAAAATTATAAATATAAATTGACTAATCATATTTATCATAATAAAATATATTAAATAGAATTAAAATTATAATACAAAAATAAATTAATATACACTCGTGTATCCCACGGGTCCTAATCTAGTTTATTTATCATTTCAGACAATCTTATCTAACATTGATTCAACATTAATTTATGATCAATCAAAATTTTACTTTTATTTAAGTTTCTATGAGAAATAACTTTCTCTTAATAACAAAATTATAATCCCATGTCAACGATATTAACAGTATTCTATCTTAACTGTAATCTGTCACTGTCTAATAGATCCTTCTAGCTTCGAGACAATTACGCGTATCACATTTTTAGTTTGTAAAATAAAAAAATAAGGTTGGTTTGAAGACAACACACGCCTTTTACAACAGGTTTGAACTTTTTCTTAATTTATGTTTCCTTTGTCCACACTTTGTTGATCTATAATTTGTTCTTTTGCATCACATTATCCTTATATATAGATCAAAGATCCTCACTTTTTCTTATTCCCTTTTCTGATAAATTAATAAAGTCTCTTTGAAGTTCCCATAATCAGTAAAAAGATGGTTGGCTTGGTATCTCGTTCTGGAAGGGAGATGCAAAGATACAATAGTAACGGCGGTCGCCAAGTTGTGGGGTGAGTGGCTTGTTTGTTTCTACTCAAAATCCAACACTTTTAACACGTATAATTCTTTAACCTCACGTTAAATAACTTGTCTAACGTATGTTCAATTAATTGTGTAGGTGCATACCATACAAATATAAACAAAACATTGATGGCAGTATGAGCAATGAATTGGAGGTACTTCTTGTTACTTCACAAAAGACTCCAACGTTCATGTTTCCAAAGGTAGTGCTTGATCCCTTGAAGCAATACAATATAACTATATATATATATATAGTAACATTAATATATTTGTTTTATTTGTTTTGATTCAGGGAGGATGGGAACTTGATGAATCTTTAGAAGAAGCAGCATGCAGAGAATCACTTGAAGAAGCTGGAGTTATAGGAATTGTTGAAGTAAATAATTGGATATAGAATTTTCCAAGTTTTAATATCAAATAATTTTAAGCTCCTGCATGTAACAATTTAAAACAAGACTGAAAATAGTTTGTTTTTGTTTTTGGTATTGCAGCATGAGTTGGGTGAATGGAGTTTCATTAGCAAAAGATATGGTATATACTATGAAGGTCACATGTTTCCCTTACTTGTTAAGGAACAACTTGACATCTGGGCTGAGAAAAATCTACGTACAAGATTATGGGTAAGTGTTTAAGAGCTATCATGGAAACTGTGTATGTTCAAATTAATAAACTCATTCAAAGTTAACATATTTTTCTTAGAAATTTAAGCTGCATTTGCAAATACTAATTTATGTGTTTGTAATGTGCAGATGAATGTTGTTGAAGCAAGAGATGCTTGTCAGCATTGGTGGATGAAGGAAGCATTAGATATACTTGTTCATAGACTAAATCTTTACCAAAATAATAACGACACTTATAATTAATTTTGGAAAATGTTTTGCACTTCTGTAGTACATATATTGAAAAAATAAAGAGCTGTTATTCAAAGTTGAGGAAAATATTTATCATGTTACATGAGAGGGTCATATTTCATTATTTCCCATGAGTTAAAAATAAGAGTAGTGGTGGATTTATATGGGGTACAAGGAGCATATGATATTATGTGGCCAAATGGTAAAATAAATATTATTTTTATAAATGGTAAAATAAATATTATTTTTATACAAGGTCATGAGTTTCTATTAATTTTATATTTATTCCAAAAAAAAAATATTGTTAGAGAACATATTTAGAATTCCAAAAATCTAGAAAACAACACCACCCAAATCATAATACTCGCTCTACTTGGGATCCTTTGTATTAGAGTCAAACCGAAGAACATATGAAATCATAAATAATATAATATAGTATTAGTAACTTTCATAACTTTGTCTTTATTTCTCTCAAACCATCTCTCTCTCTCTCATCTAATGTCTATATTCAAAATGCACCAAAGTTGTCAAAGTTATTCAATAGTAAAGTCATGGAATCCTTTCCCTAAAAAAATTGTATTTTAACTACTGCAACATGAAGACAAAAAAGTCATGTTCATAAACTTGTTATGTGTGAATATATCATCAACCATTGATTTGTTATTTAAAGTTGATATCACTCATTTCATTTTTAAAGTGTTTTTTTAGAGGAGGATTTTGAAAGAGATTATATATCTTGTTTTCTTTTCCAAATTAAATAATTTATAAAATATTTCTTATAAATGAATACATTATTATTGAATTGTTATATGATGATTGTAAATAATTGGTTTTTCTGGTACGTCTAATAAAAGCATTATCCTTACGTGACTCATACTTGAGAAGTTGTGTACGTGTTCACTTTCTTAGGTTGAATCATCTTAATTGGATCGTATTTGATGTGGAAGGTTGATCATGTCGGCCCAAGACTAATACAAAAATAATATTTAATTGAGATATAATTGATGAGTCATTTATGGTTGATTGAGAGTATTATGGTATGTGATTTAGAAATCAAGTCTTATTGCCTATCACTATAAAGATATAACACATATTATGGACAATCACATCGAATATTGTCTAATGAGCCTTAGGTACAAGACGGGTCAAACTTACTATACAAAGGGATGATCACAAGGATAAAGACATATGTAATTCATATAATAGACAATTGATCAAGACACAACTACAATTTTATTGACCCTCACTGGTATAGTTATCATTTGTGTACTTTTACGAGTACATTTTTTGAGATCCATGGGCTACTAAAGCTGACATGGACGACACAAACCAATCCCAACAATAGTTCGATCCCATCTCACAATGACGAGGGCTTCCACCAGTAGCAACAACAACAACGATCGAGCTTCCATAGCAGATTAAGGATTTCATCTTTGAAAATTACCAGCATAATCATCCTCTTTAACATGTCCTTCTGGCACACAAATGTAGTTGGCATGAACTTCACCCTCAAAAATCACATCTCAACATCTAGACTTGACTAGTTTTTGCTTGAAAAAGAGTAGTGATATCTAGTTTCTTTGTTAACGCTTCAAGTTGTGTAATAGAGCATTTTGAATGTCAAGCTCAAAATACTTTTCTTATTTGGAGCCTTTTCACTTTGTGTGTGGTATTCACAGTGACACATATTTTCAATCAGTCTTGTTTGTCGTAGTACCTCCAACCGAGGTATCAGAAAATATTCTTTTTCAACTTACAAGCCATGTGTAAAGTGATGCATTTGTTCCATGTTGTTCATATTATGAGTTGGACAACTCTTGTACAATAGTTTAACCTCTCTCGTGCATCATAAAGAGATTTTGAGTCACCTTACTCAAAATTTGAAATTTCTTCTCTTCTTTCTATGAATTGAGAATTGGTTAACAATATTCATAATAAATTGTCTTCTAACTCTGTCCAAGTTTGGATAGTCCCACTGGATAAACATTGCAACCAATCTTTAGCTCTTTTGATTAAAGTGAAATAAAATTGTCTAGGTTTTATTAGACTATCAGTTATCTCATATGGCATGGAGATCGAACAAGTCTCGTAGAAACGGGAAATAGGATCCCATGGATCTCTAATTGCATTACCATAAAACAGATTGTCCCTCAAACCAGCTAGAATTGTATTCTTGATATGAAAGACCATTGAATCTGCTGGTTGGAATCCAAGAGAAATTAATTCAGCATCACTCCTTCTGAAAAATCTCACATAGTCCACCTATATGGAACATAGCCATTATTACTTCTTATTTATTACTATCGATGTCTGAAGGTATGGACAATACTTATTCTTTCTGCTCCTCTTATACTAAATGTGGTAATCAAACTACTTTCCGGTTTTATTTTGTTGTTTTCTCAATCTTTGAATCAAATAGCAATATCCTAGAGCATTCACCTAGCATACAAAATCAGAAAGAAAAAAAAATCTCAATAGCATTGTTAAATGTAGAAATAACTAATAAGCAATAATAATAATTATAATACATGTTGAAAATAACATAAAATAAAAATTATAAAAAATATTCAAGCACAATTTAAATACCTTTTTTAAATTAATCAAAAATTCTTGATAACGACACCAAAAATTTGATGGGATAATTTAGAAAGTATACCAAATCCTTATCAAGTAATAAAATAAAACTTTGTATCCAGTAGAATTTCTCAATTTAGAATTATTGATTGTATAGTGTATAGATGCTGGGAAATAGAAAGTTTAGGCTTAACATTGCTAGATTAATGATTTAGCATTTTTGTAGATTTAGTTGACTGAATCTGTTGAGATTGCCTTGATTGTAACTCTTCCTTTTGAATTAATATATCTTTTTGGTTCAAAAAAGAATTTCTCAATTTCAACTAACCAGTACTATCGTATTAAAAATATAAATTTGAGAGGTTTGCATAAGATTTAGTTTAACATAAAATAATAAAAAATTATTAAAGTTGTGTGAGCTTAAAAACGATTAGGAATTTTTCAAATCCTTTAATTTTTCCCTATTTAGTAATCGCTTATATTCTCTAAAATTGTTTCCATAGTATCACAATTAACTAACAAATTAGTTACACCCAATTTTTTGAAGAATAAGCCTCTCTTTTGATTAGAACCCCAAAATATCTTAGGCAAGTTCACAATTAAAAGAGATTTTCGTATGCGTTAATTCATGTATCACAAATGAATAATTTAATATATCTAAATTATATTTAATTGAATAATAAAATTAGATCGGGTTTCAAAAGTTAGGGTTAATAATCAATCAAAATTTAAAATAAAATACATACATTCGTAACGATAAAAAGGGAACTAGGCAAAAGTATAAGAATAATATTAGGATTTCAATTTCATAGAATAGTACTCATACATTTATATAGTTCAAATAGTTTAAAATAAATTCATCTCAAAGGCATAATCAAAAATAAATTTAGCTGCTCTTAATAAAATAATATTATTTGTAGCCTAAATTATAGAAGAATAATACATGAATTTTGGAGAAGAAAATTAGGGATTAAAAATGGAAAATCTTTAATCCTTGCTCTTTAAACCCTTGCAGCTATCCAATTCCAAATATAATGAGGAATACCATAAAAATCTTCCAATTGCCCTTTTACAATGGCTAAAACGTGTCCAAATTGTTCCATGATCATCATGCCACAATTGGATTAAATAGTGTCACGATGACTTTAAATCGTTGCAAGATTTTATTCTAGTAGGCTTTGTATTTTTCTTCTTTTGAAAATTCTTCTTTTTCTCTTCTTTTGGCAGCCTTTTTCTTTTTCTCAATTATTTCCAACTATCATCTTTAAATCATAAAGTTATTCACTAAATACTATTAAGAACTCTAAAAGCTACTACAAAAATTATACGATGACTGGTTGACATCACAATCTCAAATTTATATTATTTTTTTTGGAAGAAGGAAATGAACTTTCATTAACTAAAAAACAGAACAAAACAAAGCGATCACGAGGATCTAGTCCACCAAGACTACCTAGAACAAAACCAAACAACTAACTATGGTATCATAAGGTTCACTATCCTATTTTTAAGCCTTTTACAAAACAAACCTCTATATACAATATTGTAAATAATCTCCTGAATAATTTTTTTCTCTATCATTATTTTTACCAAAACAAACCTTATTTCTATAATCCCAAGTGCCATAAATGGTTTCTGCAATAGTCAACTTCAAGAGAGAAGATCTTCATCCTTTACTTATTTCCATTTGCATAACCCAGCTTAACTCAGCATTCCAAGCTTTAGGACTGTGATGAAATTGTAACCAAGTCAGAATATCATACCAGGTTTTTCACAGATGCTGGGAGTCAAAGAAAACATTATCAATTGTCTCCTCTGCACTACAGAAAGCACATGCGCTATCATTTATAAAACCAAATCTGACCAGTCTACTCTTAGTAACCATTTTCCTGTGACAGGCTAACCACAACATCATTTTAGCTCGTGGTCTTGCAACATTAAAGCTCATCAACTTGCACCAATGTATCTCTTGACCTGCATTAAGAATCAGATAAATTTTCCTCATGACAAACTTGTTCATAACATACAACTCCTCCCACACATAATTATGCTCATTAATAAAGTCACGACAATTCAGAATTTTCCTCATTATCCAAGTGCTAGTATTCTTTACTTGAACCTCCACAATGGACCTGTTTTTTATGTAATATGCATGTATCCATTTCACCCACATACTATCAACTTTCTCACAAATATTCCATAATAATCTAACCATTGCACAATGATTCCAAATGGACAGATTAATGATTCCAAGACCTCCTTGTTTAATAGGCTTACAAAGTTGGCTCCAAGAAACCAAGCTCTTTCTGCTAGTAGCATCTTTTCCTGTCCACAGAAAGGTTCTAAGCTTTTCTTCAATTTTCTTTATGACATATTTTGGAAAAGGAAATATCATCAACCAATAATTTTTCATTGAAAAAGATATACTCCTGATCAAC